AAGATATTCGTGGAGGAGAAAAACCTCCATGAAGCCTCAGAAGAAAAGAGCATGAATTTGAAACATCAGGGGCTCCTCCATTTTTGGGTTAGCAAGTAAGCTACTTTAAAAATCCAGCCTCTCTACTGTGAAAGAGAATGTCCACTGTTGCATTTGATGAGGTATAAACCAATATAAATGAATTATTGTTGGCTGTTGTCCCACGGACACTTTTCCCCTAAGTTGTGTAACAGGCTGTGACTGTGATGCCCCTGGTCTGGGGCTGGATCTCACTTTTTCTCCATCAGTACTGCCTACTTTTCTCCCTACTGCATGTGGAAAGGCTTGTGACTGGAAAGCCATGTATTGGTTTGGGGAGGAAAGGGGAGTTTCATGCGCATCCTGACATTTAACCCATGTGACAGACCCAGACATTAAAGTAAGCAGTAGCCTTCTGTTACTGTCTCAAACTGTCCTTCACATGAGATGCCTTAATATGTATTTGAAAGCCCTATTATATTTAAATTGCTTTTAGAGTAAATCTCTGGGGAATTTACCTTTTCCTTTATCAGCATAAGACAGCCAACCACTTAAGAAAGTAAACCTAATGGTGGTGAAGGCTGGAGACTCATGACATCAGTGCCTGCAGCCCTCAGGGACTGCAGTAAAGGGCACATTACTTGGTTGGTGATGCTCTTTTCTGTTACTGGGCCCAGAGAGACACAGTGGCTGAAGAATACAGAGAGATTTAAACAGCTGATGCCAGTTTAGGTGCCTGGAGCCAGTGCTAAAGGGTTCATTTACATTTTTCAAAGTCACTGCTAAGCCATAGCTCACTCTGGTAGGCACTGAAAAGCCTTCATTTCCATAGCTGGTCCCAGGGAATAACCCTACCTGGGGTTAGTAATGCTGACTACAGCAGAATGGATAAAGCAGAAGTTTTTTCATATTATCTCTTCACACAGGAACTCACACTCTGCAGCATGCTTTCAGCTTTACCTCTTGTCAAAGTGTTTCTGGATTATTTCTCCAGCTACGTAAACTCACACTTGTGCCATCACTGCATGGAGCAGCTGGCCCATGGTAGGACGACTAAAGGAGGACTTTAACCTGTCTTGCCAGAAGAGCTCAATAGTTCTTAGAAAATAATTATCTGGCTGGTCTATGCACGCACAACACTGTGAACTAGGTGTTTTACTCAGTGCCCAAACACTTTGTGTGCCACCAAGGAAATACATTACTTTTTCCTCTCTTTTTTTGAACCTGATGACCCATGATTTGATGCAGGAAGTCTATAGGCTTCCCTAGCTATAGATGCCATGAGACAGCCTCTCACTTTTCTTCTCTTACTAGAGTTTCTGCAGGTTTAGTTTTAGGTATTTATAAAATATTTTCCACGTTCTAGCAAAATTAATTGCTGGAGAAAAGAAATAGCAAAAGTCAGTCTGCAAAAGTTAGAGAATATTAGTGCAACACAAAGTTGGAACACCTCATTATCTGCATCCAGATTCTAATTCTAAAAGTCATGCTTATCCAACCAGAATAGAAAAATAATACCAAATGGCATATATGTCGTTGCTGCAAAGTGACAACAAACAATCAATAAATGCTTGAATCAAATTATTCATCAATAACCTAAGCACTGTCAATTACTTGGATAAAAAATTCTTAATAATCCATAGAGCTGAAATAAAGCATTTTTGATAGGGGATAAATGACAGAGAAGGGAGTAGTTTGTTTGTATTTCTATCATAGCTGTTTCTCTTCATATGCTTGATGCCATATATATATGTGTGTGTGTGTGTATATGTGAATCACATAGTAGTTTTGGATATTAAGCTTACAATTCAGGATTAGTTTCTTACCTAAAGAAAAATAATGAGGATATTCCACTGGTTGGTTGGGGTTTTTTTAAACATATCCAGAGAAGCAGTCCCAGTAGGAAATTATTTGGCAAGTCACTTGAATTTTTGGTGATTAAAGGATAAAGATCATTTGTACACAAACTTATATAAAACTTTATGTTCTATGAGTCACTCCATGTGGCTTTAAAGAAAAAAAAATCCAAAACTTTATTTAACATGCAAAATGAGGTCATTGGCTAAGAATTATTGAGAAACCAATAGGAAAAGTCATGTAGAAAAGTAACCCTTGCCTAGGATTCATGTGGTGTCTTTTGACAAGTGGTTGAAATTAGGGGACAACAGTTGGAACACCTAAAAATTACCGTCAAAAGTCTTCAGTAAACACAACTTTACATCATGGAAGTTTTTAACCTCCTGACTCTTATCTGTTTGTGTTCTTTAAAGCAATGTCAGGGTCAGAGATGGAGATTGGTAGATGAGTTGTAGTATTACATCAAACAGAGCCTACATAAACATATACACTACTTTCACTTCATTGATGTCCCATGGCCTATACAAAAGCATTGCCTTGTTGATTGATACTGCCCTAAGTTATCATAACCTGTTCTAATCTATGTTCATTACATTTATATAAATGAAATATGAAGGGACTGATTTTTATGGGTCTACCTTTTGTGCAGAAGAACATCTGATTACAAAGTCTGCTTTAGCAGAGTTTTAGGTTTCCTCAGTTTGATTGTACAAAAGACGGCAAGGGAAAATAGGCTGGGTCATCATTTGGAGTTGACCTGAAATCATAAAGAAAGCAAAACAAAAACACCTTCAAAATGTTTTATAATCTACGGTGGGGTTTTTTGTTATCTTTTGTTTATCTTACTGGGTAAACTGAAAAAATCTGCCTTCGAAAAGGCTGCCAGTTGTCAGGAATTGCCTGGGCAGTTCAGATACTGCCAGCTGACCCACAGCAAGGAAAAACATACCAAAGTCCTGAAAACATGATGGTGCTTTGGAAGAATGAGTTTCTTCTGAAACTAATGGAAGTTTTGTGACGTAGGCCTGTACATCAGACAAGGAGTCTGTTCTTGCATTAAGTGTCTGTCTTTATCTAGTTACTTAAAAATGATGGTGGTGAGTTAAAAATTTTTAAAAACATTTCACGTGTATCATTAAAAGCTATTTCCTCTCAGTTCACATCCTTTTTTTTTAAAGAGAGAAAAAGCGCAGGCAGGACAGTGGTAGTCACTCTGGAGTACAGTCATTTCAGGGGCAAGTAGCTTATGTTAAGCAGTCAGTAGTAGAATGATCCTCAATTCTGTTCATACAAAGCTATCTAGCACAGTAGAGAGACATACATAGATAAGTGAATGAATACATGCATAGCCATATACAAATGCATATGAGCTCTTTGGGTCTTTGTCATTTTACAACTGGGTCTACTTTTCATTTGTAATTTTTTTTCATGTTTCTTCATGAAAGGGACTTTGTTTTGCATTGTTTTCTTTTTCTCTTTGAGGGAGGAAAGAAGACATATTTCTGTATTTTTTTCACTTCCTATTGAATGGTAAGAGAATTGTGCTTTTCTAAGACAGATTCACAAGAAAAAATTAGAAATGAAAGGGGGAAAAGAGCATTAGAGCTTGAAAAGTCTAATTGCGATGTAAAAATTGTCATGCCCTAGGTTTTCAGCCAAAATTTGCTCCTAGTCAGACACGTGAAGTCCACAGAATTCTCTTAAAATCTCTAAAATTAGTTCTGTTTAAAATGCTTAAAAATGTTAGTGAGTTTTAAGGGCTGCCATCTTTTGTGTATCCAGATAGACATCCCTAAAACAACCTGAATTAAAAAAAAAAAAAGATTAGATGAAGTAGTTAAGTGAAAATGTCTCAAGTTGTAAAAGTCTGTAACCAATAAGAATACTTTTATGAACTGAATTATGAATATAGGGGTTTAAAAATGTACTACATTATAAATAAAAACTTTGGCATCAATACCAGAAAAAGAAGAGCGAATAATAGAACATTAAACAATGCTCTGCGCTTCTGCTTCAACTTTCTTTCACACAAATGATGTATTTACAAAAGAGGAGAACTAAATGCAAAAAAACCAACCAAACAAAAATCATGCTACATTAGATGACTTGACAGTGGAATTTGCTATTTCAAGCTCAGTACATACTGCAAATACCAGGATAAAATAATCTGTTCAGCACAGTGAAGTTTAAATACTTTTGCTTTTATTGTAGTGACAACCGTTGCATGTAAAGGAGAAAAAGAAAGATTTTCCCCTCCCCAGGTGATATATGAGGAGATGGAGAAGGTAACAGGACAGACAGAAAAGCAGATATCTCATTTATTTCTGGACTGTTTGACAAACACTGTTTCCCCCAAGTGCATGTTTTGAGGACTGATACTCCTCTCATCCCAGCAGCAACAGCAAAACTGAGCCCAGACGCGGGAGATCCCTCCAGCTTCGGCTGCGCAGCCCCTCCCGGAGGTTAATGCAAGGACTCCTGCGTGCATGTGTGCAGTGGTTACAGGATCCTGATGGCTTTATTACCCTTGGGGCCTCCTCTTTGGTATGTCAGCGTCCTTCTAACCTGCAACCACATGACGAAAATTAAACAAGGGTTTGTTGCATTTGTTGCTGTGGAAATATGAAGTCAGTTGCTTCAGTTTCAATGGGATTTCCCTCCTCCCCTCCCCCCCCCTTTTTTTTTAAAACATTTACATTTTTATCATATGTCAAGAACAGGAGACAGGAGACATTTGTGACAGGCAAAAGGGGAGGGGATACCCCCCACTTATCCGTTCCCCTCTGCCCGTTTCCCCTCCCCCCCCGCCACATTTTTCCTTGTTAACTGTGCTAGGGCAGAAAGGTGGGGGCGAGGGAATAAAAGCAGTCCTGCATGTCTGGAGGAAAGAAAAAAGATAAAGGGGGAAAGGGAAAGGGGAGGGGAAGAGTGGTCAGGGACTTGAACCACCAGTGAAATGATGCTTCTCCAGCCCTCCTGTTCAGATAATAGTTAACTCGGGGTTAAAGATTAATAGCCAGGCAAAGCACTGTATAAATGGCCCGGGCGAACTGAATGTATGTAAACTGCCTCCTGCTCCTCAGCCTGCTGAGCTACCCTCTCTGTGGTCCCTCCTCATCAGCGACATGAGTAGCCTGCGGTCTCTGCTGCGCCGCTGCTGGCTGCCGTCCCTGCTGCTGCCGGCGCTCCTGGG